AGAAAAATGTATGTTTTCTTGTTTGGGTAAACAGCCAGTGAAAATTGAACGAATGTCACATTTGAGAGCACTGTAAGTTCAAACATTTTAATTTTTTTTATCCAGAATATTGATGTGGGTTTCTACAAACTGACATCAAGGTACTTATACACTCATAAGGTACTTCCATTTTCTCATGTGTTTAGAGTGGGGTAAATTTCATGATTTCTGATCAGGTTCTTTCCACTGTCGTTACGAAATAATTGCAATCGAGTAAAAATCTAGTAATCTAGACGAATCGGGCGATATTTGATTTTTTTTTAATTCTTGGAAGTATGTACTGCATCAAAAGTAAAGATACGCACTTGATTTTGTTCTAATTGTAATTTGTGTAATTTTGGCTCATATTTATCTTTGATTGATTCAAATTGATCTTTTATTTCGGGAACTATTCCTGCTAAACCAAATAAATAAACTTTTGTTTCATGTTTGTCACAACATATGGCTTTATTATAATCTGGTCGTTGTTGCAATTTATCATAAAATTCATTTATTTTTTGTGCCAGTTTTGATATTGTTTGGGATTTTGATGATATTGTTACAATTTCGAATAGAAATACTCCATGGTTAATTATATCACTAATTTGATTTTCTTCTGCACCAAATTGAGGATGCTTGAAATAATGAATATTCAGACCATTTTTCGATCGTTGACAGACGCATATAACACCTTTTCGGTTCAAATAATCTTGAATAAGATGTACAGAATCGGCCACTTTGATCCATTCGGCAACTAGAAAAAGAGTAGAATGCCATTTATCTAATTGGTAACATTAATTATAACATACTTACCATTTTGTTCATTGTAAACTTTTGTTTGGAGTGATGTAAACAGATTTTCAATTGCCGTACGTGCCGAAGAAATATCATCGTATCGCCCATATAATTCGATCATAATTTTCATTTTCAATGGTGAGTGATCATGCTCTCGTTTCACATTTGTTTTAGTCATGTATGTATCACGTAAATATTGTTTAAAGCGATTTTCAAACATATCATTATTGAAAAATTGACAATATTGCGCACTTTCGATTGGATAAGGAATGAATTCTGGTTGAAGAACTGATGGTGGATGTGACAGTGACGATGATTCAACTCTACTGTTACTTGTGGACAAGTTCGATTGATTAAGTGGTGCCCGAATTTGAAGTAATTGATCCATTATCGTTCGTTTAGCTGCTACCATATAGCCTTTTTTATCTGGTAATTGTCTGTAAGCACAGGGTAACTTATTTCTAAATAGTGTATCCAATTGTTCCAGCGTTGGCTCACGTAATTCTTTAATAACAAATTTTTCCATAAATGTTTTCGTATTATCCAACAAATCTGTTGGAGCCAATATCACAAATTCATCGGACACGAAGCATGTAACGGAATAGCCATGAATCTCAATATCATTTTCGATGTATTCCATATATGATCCTATTCAGTAGAAGGGAAATTATATCATGAACATGTCAAAAATTCTGTTTCTTTTTCTGTACATTTAATCTTACTTATAAACTTTTTGTACTCAAGTTGAAAGGTCGGATGAGATGTAATTAATTCAAACTGGGAATCAAATGTTATTTCTACTTTTCTCATAGATGAAGCTGTTGTTATCTCTGAATAATCAGGTTGTAATTTTGGTATCAATGACCTGTATATACATGTAATGAGCATTTTAACCCACAATAGATCAAAGGTAGATTTATTACTTTTCAATATTTGACGATGAACGACACGTGTGAGGTTGAACTATAGATTTTTCCACTGGAGTTAATTCATTTGGAATAATATTCGGTTTTTGTTTGTTTGTGTTCATTTCTTTTATTTCATTCTCCACAGCGTGTAGAACTGGTTGAACTCGAATGTTGTATTGACTTTGTACTTTATTTGTTTCCATCCATCTTTTCAAGGCTAAAACGTAGAATATATATAAATTATCATACTATATGTAAAGTTGAAGGTAATTTACCATGTGAATCGATAAATTCAACCGATACTTTATCATCAAATACGAAAAATGCAAATATTTCATCTAATGAGGATGAAAATAAGGTTGGTACAATATCTTTTGATGATTCTATTATATATTGTTTGTCTAACATTTGTTGTTCTTCCAATCTTTCAAACGATATGTCGAGCATATCAGTTTCATAGATTTGAACTAATTTCACTTCTTTATTTTGCAATTTAGATTTGTTTGCGTAAGATTCAAACAATTTTATTAAATCTATAAGAAAAAAAGAACATATAGTCTATGTACATTGTTTCAGAACATCGTTTTTATTATACCAATATCTTGTTCACATTTAATCAAATGGATTTGTTCTATTTTATTATTTACTGTTACATCATCTATTGAATATGGATTATTTCCGATAAGTGTTTCCACGTATAAGTCTATTTTTCTTTGATCTATTTTTGTATCACCCAATATTTTTAGTATAAAACGCTGTTTATCAATTTGTTTTATTGTTCGTTTCATTTTTATCTTAACATCATCGAACGTTAAAACGCTTTGAGTTACAAGATTATCAACAGCTAAAAAACGAAGAATTATTATATCGCATGTGGAAGATATAGTCACTATATTCGGCTTACATTCTGTTTGTGCAAATTGAACAATAAAACGTCGTCCATGCTGATTATTAACAGGTGTGATCTTTGTAATATTCCCTCCTTTTGTTGATAATAATAATTCAACTATTTCATCATCTAATTCTAGTGCTTCCTCTTTCGATGGTATAATTACATCTAACTGATGGTTTGAATTTGATGACATTATCTACAAGGAAAATATTTGATGTCAAAGTTATGAATTCATTTGTGTTTTTAAAAAATGTGTATTATCATTTTATATCTCAAAAAGGTGTACTTTCGTTTGATATTACTCAAATACAGTCGACTTTATACTTTTTCAAAATTATAGCTTTTATTTCAAAGCGAATGTGCAATAGTAATGGAGTAATTTTACACCTTAAAAACTTGGAAAAAAATTTCAGCGAGAAAAAGTCCCACATTACTCATTTAACATTACACGTGAAATAAATGTTGATATAGGCAGAAACAAGAAATGACACGGTAGGATTCTTTCTGTTTCTCTGCTTCTTCTTCGAACAACGTGGCCACTAGTAACCGATAGATAGAACATTTTGAAGAAAAATAATTTGTAAGGCATACAAAATAAATATTGTTTTAGAAAAAGTTTTTATAAGTCGCGTATTATTATGTAAGTATCAAGGTGTAATTTATTCTCAAGCGTCAAAACAAATCTAGTATCGTCCAATTCATCTAGATTACTAGATTTTTACTCGATTGCAACTATTTTGTAACGACAGGAGAAATCTAGTAATCGGGCGATCACTAGATTTCTCCTAGTTGCAACTATCAATTTATCGACCGGTAATCGATCGCTAGTTACACATCTAGTTAAAAACCCCTTTTCCAACTAGTAATCTAGATGACAACTAGTCGTGTATCGTACGATTACAGGCGAAATGGATCTAGATTTTTCCCATAGGTGATGTTTGCTTGGGTTATTTATATATGAAAATCATACAGTGAAACTTCATAGAACAAGTATGTTTATATGCATTAATACTAACACCGGGTTTTGTTTTAGATTCTTTTTTATATATAATGGGTGATGACAAGACATTTTCCGTTGATCAAATCACTCTTGTTAATGATGATTTTTTCAAACAACGTGTCAATGGCATTGTTTTATATACGAAAGGACCACAATTAAAAAAATTAATGCGTGAATTATCAGACAATGATCAACTAATATGTGATATAACAAATATTTGTAATCAAATATCAAATGATCGACAGTGCCAAGAACGTGTTCGATGTCAGATTATACGTGTGACAAACAATCAAATTGAAGCTGAAAATATTATTCTAGTTAATCAACCTGGTATCAATTGGTCAGAATGTCAGTGGTTTGAAACGATAATTGATGTTGCCTGTCAAAGAAGAATATATTCAATAGTATTTCCTTATATTTTATATTCGACAGACGATCAATTGTGTACACTGGATATTATTCTAAAACTGAAAAAAGAAAACAAACTTCAACAAATCCAAGAAATACGAATTGTTTACGCAGATGAAACAAATTTCGCATTAGAAAAAGAAAAATTTCTATCTGAGTTGAAACAACAATTGAAAAATAATGGTAAGAGCTCTTACGGGTAGTTCTCATAAAAATGTGGTATTTGTAACACACCAAGTCTCTAATCTGCTACGTAAGGGTTTCTCAAACACTACTGTACTTAATATTTCATTTGTTCATTATAGATGATAGAACGAATGAAAATACGCGATTTAATGATCATGTAGCACATGGATATAAGATATTCGATGGGAAGAATAGAGGACATGAAAACAATAATCCTTCACATAATCTTGGCGAAAGTTGGTCATTTGTAGCCTCTAATGTCAATAATATTCAAAATGAACAAAATCCTATATATCAATATGAGTTTGGTGATGCAATGTTAGTGATCAAACAAGGCAATATTCTAATGGAAAAGGCAGATGCTATCATCGTTGATGTCGATAACAGCAATCCAACTCAGCCTGTTCAAATGGTTTATGAACAAGCTGGTACCACCTATAAACAAGCATGTGCAGCTTTGAATCCAACTGATGAATTGTATATCATGCCTGGTGGGGATTTACATGCACGATATATCATTCATATGTCATTACCATGTTGTACCCCGGCTCAGAGCAGTAGCCAAAATTATTTGGGTATTCTACGTGATAGTTTTGCGCCAGTATTTAAAAATGCATCAAAATTTCGCATTAATCGTATAGCTCTTTTACCAGATGGACGCATTAAACATAATTATAGACCCGAAAGTCTACTCGAACAATTATACAAAGTTTACTCAAATTGTAATACATACATACGTGATATAGTCATGGTGATTGATGATACGTCAAGATTTTCAGCGTGGAACGATACATGTAAACGATTTTCAGCTCAATGCTCAATACGACGTGCAAAAGAATCATTAGCACATGTTAATGAACGTCCTTCCATTGGAGATCCTGTACCAGGAAGGCCTGTCAGACATTCAGCTGATGACGAAAATTTTAATAAAGATAATCAATACAAACGAACCATGTCTTCAAGTATTATACATTTAGACCAATTTATATCACTTATCCTTTTTTCTCTCTTTAGTGCCACAGGAAACAGTAAATAACAGACACATAATGTCACATACTGGAGATTCTTCACATTCCTCTAACACCAGAATGCTACCAACAGATATTATTAAATATGCTTTATCATCATGTACAGTATTAATAGTGAAACGAGGTGATATAAGCATGGAACATACTGATGTCATCGTGAATGCTGCAAATGAATATCTTAATGATGGTATCGGTGTTACAGGTGCCATCTACAAGGGAGCGGGATCTGTATATGCAGATGCATGTAAAAAATGTCCAACAATAAATGGTAAAGGGTGGCGTCTTGAGCCTGGACAAGCTATTGCATTACCGAGTGGAGATTTACTATCACATTGCGTTATTGCCACCGTGGGTCCCGTGTTTGATGAAAAGGATGAAGCATCGTCGAGAAAAAAATTATTTTCATGTTATAAAGAATGCTTATCGTTAGCTGCGCAAAAAAATTATCGTTCAATTGCATTTCCGGCATTATCATGTGGTGTCTACGGTTATCCTATCCAAAAAGCCGCTCATATCGCAATTGAAGCAGTTCAAAAGTTTTCGTCGAATTTGAGGGAAATAGTATTTGTTCTATGGGATGAACATGTATTTTCTGCTTGGATTCAAGCTATAGAAAGCAACAAATGTCTCAAAAGATTACCTGGCTAACTTTATAATAATTAGACCTAAGATAGCATGTTGAGGAAAAAATTGTAAGATATATAATATAAGGCAAAATTCTAAGTATGTTGCACATATTTTTATAGGATAATCTGTATAATTTTGAGCATTCTGTTGAAATGATAAATATTTTTTCTATTCGGGTGTTGTATCAAAGCCTGTTGGTACCACTTCCGTGGATGAATTACCAATTGTTGTTCGTCCTATTAAAACACGAGCCAAAATATTCGTTTATTTTTAGAATTAGTTCAATCATTCCATGCTATAAACTTGACTTTTCCCATTCGATTCAGAAGAATGCACCGGCTAAGAAGAACTGAACACATTATTTAATTTATTTACTGTTGATTAAAAATGTGAATTAGATTATGACTAGAACGTAGTCAAAATTACCTAGAATTTTAGTCTACCATAAAATTTCTCTCTTTTTAGTAATTAAATGCTAGCTGTCATATGCAGTGGCGGCAAAAATTATCTGTACGATCTTGTTTTAATCATAACTCGGTAACGGAAAAAGCTTTTGACAAGCGGTTTGCGCCAAAATATTCTCCGCTCTCTCTCTAGTATATTTGTAGATAAAAAAAGTTAGAAATATTCGTTGTTGCTCTTTGTAGGCCCATCAGACCGAAAAATGAAAGTCTTCCGGTGGCAAAAATTATTTGTACAGTTGATAAAAATCTTCTTTTATGCTGTATAAGCACCGACAAAATATGAAAACTACATTAACAGATAGAGGAGAGCGCGGGCTACATTCTGGTAAAAAAATAATTTTAAAAAGCTTTTTCCTTAGGGTGAAAACGCGACTTTAAGCCAAAAGTGTCATACTCTTCAGTGTGACTCTCCATCTCAGGTATGAGTGACTGAAAAAAACTTCTGATTAAACCAATCGAAAGAGCGTCCAAAACTGAGTAAGATAAATATAGTGTGGAAGTTAAATGAGAGAATGTTGACCCATCTTTTACTATTTTGGATCTTGACGCTATTTTTGAAATATCTTTTCTGCACAGGAAGGTAAACATTTTTTGGATATCTTTGCGTCATCATGTAGTCACGTAGTTACTGTATATGGGTATGAAAAGAGAAATTTAGACTTTTAAGTTTAGCATTTGTCAATAAAACAAGAAATAGTTGTGAGGGGATGATGGAGAGTGGGAGTAGAAACATTTTTTAAAAAATAGTGCACTGCTGGTTATTTTATTAGTTTAATCAAATCGTTTTGTTTCATCTATGTAACTATCGTGAGAATGCTGCGTATCGAATCGTTATCAAAATTCAAATCATCCAGTAGTAATGTATCCACACTGAGATGAGAAAGAAAGTTCAAGTTGTTACACAACATTGTGCGTTCAGAAGTGTAAAACCGACATTTCAATAAATAATGCTCTATGTCCTCAATGCTTTTACCACACGCGCAGTCCGGGATATCAACGCACTTATGCTTGTATGAATAAAAGTTCAAAGGAGGAAAACCCGAGTTCAAACGCAAAACTCAACAAACGCATAATCTTAAAGTGAGAACGTATAGGGATCCAACCTACGAGTTATAAACATTTACCTTTTGAACTTCCTCGCATTGCACCTAGCACAGCTTATTCTCATGTAAATAAAGTTAGGACTAAAACGTCTTCTGTTGTGGGCTTAATGAAATATCATCAGCGAACTTTAAAGAAGAATGTTTTGGAAATTATCTATAACCTCGATCATTACAGTATGTCAATAGATACTTGAATTTAATCCGGAATTCCTAATGATTCCTAGGAATTCTTAGAAATTCCGCATTGAAGGAATTCTGGGAATTCGGGCATAGAATAAGTTGTATAGTATTGATTATTACAGTATGTCAATAGATACTTGAAACAATTCCGGAATTTCTAGCTATTCCTAGGATTTCCGAATTGAAGGAATTCCGGGAATTCCGGCATAGAATAAGTTGTATCCTACTGATCATTGTAGAATATCGATAGATACTCCAAGTAATTCCGGAATTCCTAGGAACTGATTCCGCAATGATCAACATCGCGGAATAGGAGGTATTCTCCTACAGATAAATACCAACAAGACAATTGAACCTATCTCAGTTATGTGTTAATGAAACTGCGTGATTTGAAACATAAAATTTATAAAATGGATATTACGAGCTATACCAGCTATTTGTTGTTCTATATTGGGATGAAGATATTTAATTCAGTAAAGGTTCTGATTTAGAAGTTGTAGAAAAATTTGCCATGTTCATAGTACAAATAGATTGTTTGAAGTGTAAAATGTATAAATGCACAGAGGTTTATATGTCGCAGTTTCTAAGATTTGAGTAAGAATCTAGCAAATAAGAAGATATCTCTTTCCACATAACGGCCATTCCACGCGTAGCAGCCAAAAAGCGTAAGCCCGTTACGTTTTGTGACAGTCATAGCTCTTCAGCCGAACAACGTACACAGTTGGGGAACGCCTTATTTTGTAGCTTAAAGATTTTTCTTTCAAATGGAAATGAAGCAAAGTCTAGCTCTACCCTAAAGACCTACTCCTAATTCGTGCCAATAAAGCCATTTTGTACGAAAGTGGCGTATAGCAAAAACATTATGTTACTTAAACTAATCGACTGGTAGACTTTGCTTAATTAACATTTGAAAGAAAACTCTTTAAGCTACAAAATAAGACGTTCCCCAACCCTGTATGGTGCTTAGCTAAGGAGCTATCTATCTCACAAAACGTCACGGACTTACGTGAAAGTGAACTTTTATGTGGAATGGCCGATAAGATATCTCATGTGAGGACATTTTTTCCTCTCAGCGCGTCGACTGGAAAGAAAGATAGTTATGCATGTGTGAAAAGAGATTTACCTCTTAATTGCTAGTTCTCTATTATCATGCGATCTCTTTGTTGATTTCTTTTTTTATACATAATGTGATTAAGTCTTAATTAATTCTAATAGTTTATTATTTTAGCTATTCTCTCGTCTGTTTCCCTTTTGATCATCTCTTACTATTACCTATTCTCGTCTTTGTATCAATGTATCAAATGTTATGTATTAACCCTTTGGCTGCGGTTTGTTTTTATCAAAACTAAAATTAATATACCGCATCATAACATAATGTGTTTATTATAAGTTTATTAAAATATTTTATAAACACGCGCGTTTAGAAGTTTTTTAAAGTGTGATACAGTTCAAAACAAGGTACAACATTATATTGAACACACTCATATCTTGTGTCAGTTCTTGTTTTTGGACCTCTTGTTGTTTTACTGCAGACATGGTACCTTCGTCTCTTTGTTCCTTCAGATGTACATTCTGGTCAAAAACCTGTAGGCGTTTTCCTCTAAAAGCAGACGTTTTTCCGATTTCGGAGTTTTTGACCTCAAAATTCAACTTTTTCTCAACAAATCGTACATATTCAGATTCAGCGCATCGAGCTCTATCAGAATATCGAAAAAATAAAAAGCGCTCAAGTTTTGAATTTCCTTAATCTTACCATTATTCACTATTACCGACAAAAATCAAATTCAAAAACGATGGTTTGATGATGAATGAAAATTTTTTTTTCAAAATGTAAAGCACAAAATTCTGTATCCGGTGGTGTATGTTTTAAATTTTTTAAATAAAATCTCTAGGTCAGGAAACGCAAAATACTAAAAGTGTCTTAAAATTGTGTCGGCTGTAAGTTAACAAAATTGTTTTCGCCATAACTCGGTCAAAACACGTCTGATCTTGACAATTTTTTGAGATAACATAGTCCTCGACATGGCCTTTCTAACCCTGAAAGACTGCCTGCTAAATGCTGCCATGAAAACGAATCTATGGGTTTTGATTTACCTGAAAATTACTGTGACGAATATTTGCGTCACTCGCAGCCAAAGGGTTAAAGTGATATTTAAAATGAGTGAATGCGTAATTTCCTTTTATAAACTGATGCAAACATATACAAAATGTTTGCCCGAAAGTTTGAGGAGGTTCTATACGCTCCAAATAATATTGACAATTTCTGTTTGAAAAATTCGAGAAGGTTTCCATTGGAGGAAATTTCATTCGAGCAAATGTCCCAAGCTCATTTTTCACAGACTTTAGGTTTTTGCGTATAAAAGCAGTAAAACGTTCTGAGTCCAGGGTTTTAGCCTTGTTATCTTACACAGAATTAAATTCTGCATATTTTGATATGTAAACAAGTTTGCTCAATTGAAACCATTAAGTAAAAAAATTAATTTAATTTGAAAAATTTGAAAAGCCAGTTGAGAACTAGCTATGAGTCTAGCGGACGTAGTGGAAACATTATATGGAGTTATAAATGAGTGAGGTGGATAGAGCACAAAATTCTCTATCTTTCTACCTAAAAAAGTAACTATTGAGCCTCAAACAATGGGCTAAAAATCTCAAAGAAGGATACGACAAAAGCACGTCGCAGTTCGAGAATTTAGCACTATTCAACATTTTGAATGGTGCTCAAACGAGAAAAATGCTATCAGAGATTCAAATAGCAGATTTTGTAGAGAATTCAATTCTCCTAGAATCAGACTTATCTGTAGGATATAATTTCACTTCATAAATATATACGTTAAAATTCTTGAATTACAATCATTGAATAAAATTATAAGAAGAAGAAAGTTAAAGTCTAATTCTTCGATAGATAATCAATGGTACAATATGATTGATCACAGCGTACTGTTCACCATTCGGTGATAATTGAAATTTGACATCTTGATATTGTTCTGGTGACAATTGTTTCAATTTTTACTACTGTTATATATCGCCCTGATTTTTGTCCATGGCGATCCATTTGAAATGCGTACATCATAAAACCGATTAATTTGTAAGCTTCTATTTGTTGTCTATTATCATGATGAAATAATAGTATGTATGGAATTTTAATGGATACGGATGTTTTATATCAGAAACATGCTAATTGATTAAACGAATTATTAATACTTTTGGAAAACTATGCGACAAGGTTTTCACTTTGACTACAAGATTTGGTAATAAACTGGAAAAATGACTTACT